AGGACAGCCGATGCTCGCAGTTTTCGGTCTACCTACTCAGCTGAACGCACTATTGCCACTGAACTGTGATAGCTGGAACTCTAGCCCAATCAGTAACTCTAATTTCCGCCTCATGCGCCATGGGTAACATGCAGGCTCGTTTTAGGCTCACTTGGCCGACACCCATCACAACAGTGTCATAGTGTTGTCAGTGGTGGACTGGACGTCCACAATATGCGACTATCTCAGTTATCATCCCAGAAATCGCCACAATATTCTCAGCTTCTACAGCCCCGGATTATCTTCATCTGAACGGAAAAAGCACAGAATGAGCACGACGATGACCTCGCAAGCCTTGGGCAGGCTAGTGCATCGAGAGGGGACAACTTGACACCGGTACAAATTGCTTTTCACGTAACTAGCATCGTCGCCCATATCAACAGTCCTGGTTAGAAACTGTGTGTTCTAAATTCAAACATATTCGTAACACAAATAGCCACCACCGATATCCATAACATCCGCGATTGTGACATTTGGTATTAATTCCAATGTGCTGAGAACATGGTTGAGTGTGGTTATATTTCCTGGGTCACCATCGAGTGTTGCTGGCGGCTTGATGGTGGGATCGCCAAAAGTTCCACCAGGGAAGCTGCCATTACCAAGCAGGGGGCTGCCAGTGTCATTTCCTGGGATCTCCGGGAATCCGACATTAGGATCTTGCACATTCGACCCTGAGATGTCGGTAAGCCTCGTGGACAGATTGCGTGCCTGCCAGTCCCACCACACCTTGTCCAGCCATGTGTGATGCAGATAGAAGATGGGATCTCCAGGCGAGGAGATTGGGTTGAGCATCTGTCGGTGTTAAACATCAGGCACTGCTTGAAAGAGGTAGTGATAGGACTCTTACCTCACCTCCCACGCCAGCATGTCCACCCTTATGAGGCTCTGCTTCTATGCATGGCCATGCTTTATCATACGTCTCCAGGGAGTTACAATAGTCTACACTCTTTTGCGAACATGACAAGCTGTCCGCGTCGCTAACGTTCCGATTGATACAATGATTAGTAAGCTCATACCCCGGACCAACACTGTTTGTGTAATTCGAAAATGGCCCATCCGTGATGCAGCCGTCGCCGGCTCTTCCGTTTCCGCCGAAGCCTAAGACAGAATCGAAAATGATGGACGAGGAGAAGTTCCCTGCATCGAGCGTTTCCTCCCAATAGCTGTGGCACTGATTAGTCTCATGAAACCTTGTATGTGAGGCAATAATTTTCCAAGAGACTTCTTACGGCTGAGCACCCTTATACCCGCATTCCGTCTTGATAAAATATTCATGAGCATGCATGAGATACCGATGAAAAGGCAGGAAAGCGCCCACGCCGTGAGTCCACGCGGATTGGATCTGGTGATTTGCCTGTAGCTCATCAAACAAGGTATTGCACCCGGGCAACCCGACCTTTGTGGGCGTTTGCATGAGGCATAGCTCGGCTTCAATGTATTCTTGTTTCTCCTGATCGCTGAAAGTATGCCTGGAAGTCGAGTAGAATTAGTAGTTGATGATTACATCAGTTCATACTGTCTCACCAGGCTCTTCTCTGTGATTTGACGGTGCACGCAGCGTTAGCTACAATAAACCATGTTGCTATAGTAGCCAGGACCTTGATGGCGGTAGACATTGTTAGAGATGTCTTTACCTAAACTCTTTGTTTTCTCCGCGGCGATTGTCCTTCCAGAGCCTTGTGGGAGGAGTTTTCCTAGTTATATCAACGATCCACAATACGCACATTCTTCTTGGATATGAACCATGTATCTCGAAGAAAATCATCGCGAGCCACGTAGGCTTTACGTATGCTTTACGTATGCGAATCGATATCTAATATAGATCGGGGAATGTTGAAGGCTTGGCAGGAACAAATTCACGGGATTCTTTTGGTTGTTGCAAGTTTTGCCATTCTTGATGAGAGCTAAGATTCAATTCCCATAGCGAGAGTAGAGAAATTTCCATTACTCTTTACAACGTGAAATTACTATCCATCCAATCGTTCCTCTTGCATTTCTCCTTACATGCCAAATTGAGGACGCGTGGCCGGCAAATTGCTTAGCTCACCCCGGGATTTTACCGACTCGGCTCTGGGCTTCGACTGTAAAATTGAAATGGCTTTTGCACGCAGCACACTAATTCTGGGTTGTCAAAGGTCCACTGGAGGTGATGAGAGTTGATTACCATTTCTGCGGAGATCCACGCCAGCCTTTCAAGCCCCTTCTGAATTGGTTAATAGCTGGCTAGTGTCATGATCACGGATGCAAGAGTACAGATCACTAAGGTGTTATGCTCAAGCTACCTTATAAGTTTGCAACTCTGTGTCACCAACCAATTTTAGAGCATGTAGAATGATGAATGGTATCTTGTTCATGAGTTCACTTTACGGAGCAAAAGGTTAGAGAGCCACACAACTGAGAATTCACAGTGATTCGAAGGGGGTGCTTAAAGCCCAAGGCTTGCGAAACAGATTAAAATGTATGAGTAATATGCATTGCTTGTTCCTTTAGTAAGAGTCAAATACTCGTCAGCGCTGACAACAGAATGCTTGAAAATGTGAAGGCTTAATATAGCTTGATGAGACCTCCATATATCGCAAGAAAATCGCAAGACTACGCATTAAATTTCAGACTCACATATTTCAACAATTTAGACGAACTAAACAAGTAACGACACATCGTCCGTAATTCTACAAGAGTGAATTGCGGGACCAATATTTGAATCATGATTGAAAGCGTGCAATTCCATTGCCGGTATCGACCTGGGGAACCCCTGCGATGTACTTTGCCAAATATCCATAAACCCCAGACTTAAAGTGGCGTAAGTAATATTACCGAACCTCGCAGGAGAATGACTTGGTGTCCCCGGATTATGTACCTCACCCGGACTGGAGGCTAATGTCCATGCAACACTCACCCGGCCACAAGCCAAAACAAACAGTTGGATATGATCTCATCTGATCAACCCTGTCGCGGCATGTTGCAGCTTTGGTCCTTTTGAAACGACTTGGGGAGTCGATGAATATAATAACGCTGGCTGCCTCATGAAGGTTGAACTACACTGCCATTGCTTCTTTGACTCTGATTCATCTGTTCAGCTTCGCCTATCCTGTAACTCATTCCTCTAAGATCCGTTGTACAATGCAACTTATAGGCATTTTGACAGCTGCTTTTGCTTCAGCGTTGGTTGCAGCCCATCCAGGGCAGGACCATCATGCCGAAGCAGCCATCCGCAGGGAACTATTGCAGGATACTAAGAGTGATCTCAACCACTGTGCAGAGAAATTGCGAGCACGTGGTCTCACCCAACGGCAAGAGTCTCGTCGTCGGGAGTTAGCTCGCTCCCTAAGGCTGGCGCGTGGGTTGCCAGTCATGCCCCGCGACCTTGGTGACCTCAACAAATCTCACCATGCGGAGCAGCATTACAGTGCCCAGACAGATCCATCCACTATCTTCACTTCAAACAATTCATGCATTCTGAGTCCGGAAGCCATTGAAGGCCCATACTGTGAGTCAAGACTCAGATACATCCCGCTGTGCCGGCTTGGACTAATGATGCACTACGTTAGATGTGGTCGGCGAGTCTGTCCGCCCTGATATCACAGAGAAGGAGACCGGTGTGCCGCTGGTTGTCGACACTCAAGTCCTGAACATGGAAACATGTGAGCCTATCAAGAATGTATATGTTGAAATTTGGCGTATGATTGCATACTCACTGTTTATCGTATGACTGCTCAGTGCTTACCCATTCATAGATTGCAACTCGACAGGAGTCTATGGAGGTGTGTCAGCAGAGGGTAATGGGGTCGCCACTGACAAGGCAAATCTAAATAAAACGTCCCTTCGTGGCCTGCAATTGTCCGACGCCGATGGCATCACGACTTTTCGCACTATTTTCCCAGGTCACTACCAGGGGCGAGCAACGCATATCCATATCATGGTCCACCTGAACGCAACGAAGTTGTCTAACGGCACGGTCTTGGACACGAAGGGGTCACATGTGGGCCAAATGTTCTTCGATCAAAACCTCATTAACGAGGTGGAGAAGCTGACGCCATATACCGCCAACACACAGCCGCTTTGGCTCAACAATCAAGACGGCATCCTGCTGCAAGCAGCGGCAACAAGTGATCCGCTCATGGAGTATGTTTATCTTGGGGACGCGGTTGGCGACGGTGTGCTCGCTTGGCTGGCCTTTGGTGTCAACGTAACTAACGTGCGTGACATTACCCCGGGTGCGTTTTACTACGAGGAAGGAGGATTGACCAACCCTAACGGTGGTTTCCCCCCTGGCATCCCACCAGGAGGGCTACCAGGAGGACCGCCTGGCGGGCCACCGCCTACCTCAACGAAGACAGCATAGCTTTGAACATGCTGGAATTAAGATGGATGGCGAATGTTAGTAAAGACACAGGATACTGGGAAAATTGATACATCATCAGAAAGAGAAGGATATCCTTCGTAGAGATGAATACTTACACATTATGGCACGATTCTGTTATGGATTATAGTAATCGTCGTAGCTCGTGACATTTATCCCTTCTTCACTTTGCTCATGTAGCTCTGCTGCTTTAATTGTTATTGTCTTTCTATCTTACTTCCAAGGATATCCGCCTCAGCATTTTGTGGTATCATGGAGAGCCAGCGTGTCTTAAGAAGGCTATACATGATGTTGTTAGATATCGCCTTACACGAATAGCATCTACATGCTAGAGACCGAAGAATCGCCACGAACATTTTCATCTTTGGCACAGTACAGGGGCTTGTTCAAAGCAGAGAGATCACATCTGAGAATGCTCCCACACAGCATCAGGATTGACTTTCACCGTTTGATACACTGTCAGACAAAAGTCTCCTTATACTGCCCCCATCATACGAAAGCAAACCACCAACTCCAAGCTATTTTCCGGGGACAAACCTCATATATACCCAGTCGAGCTCTTACACTCTAACTCTTTCATACCATGCCTGCCAGTAAGCGCTTAAGCAGAGGGGAAATCTGCAGCAGCCCGGCTAAGCCGTCGCAGAATATCGGGCATTCGTCCATCTTGAAGTTCAACAATACACTCCTCGATGACAGAGCCATCCCCGATCTTCTGTGAGCGGCTGCGACGAAGCCAGTATTCAAATGGACCTCCTGGAGATTAGTTAGCTTTCGCGCTGACACAACCCGTTGTGTACGAAGTGCAGACTCACGATTACGATCCAGAGCCGCACCAAGCTCCATGCAACGCTCATCAGGGTCATGCTCAACATGCATGTCGGTGAAGTGTGTGATCATCTTGGAGACATCTTTGAGCGGCCACTTGCAGGGGGCACTAGGCAGACGGCCCTCGCCAGCCAGCTTGTACTTGTCCGTCTTGCACAGACGGCAGTTCCACATACCAAGACGTCGGATCTCAGTTGTCTCTTCGATATCGTCATTATCGTCATCTGGGGAGCTTTCTATCTTGGGCCGCTTCGCTGAAGAAAAGCCACTCATACCATTCGCAACATTTAGCGGTCGCTTTGCCGAGATCGGAGTCTTTGTGTGGCTCGCTGACGGGGCAAAACCAGAGGAGGAAGCTCGTGGTCTGCCGATGATGCTGTTCCTGTGTGAGCTACCAATCAGCCGCTTCTGAGCCTGCATCGTCTCAATGCGGTGCCTGCAATGGCGGATCTGGTGGCCAAGATCGAGTGTGCGCAGCTGCATTGTCCTCGTTTCTTGAGGGGTCAGGTCGGCAGCTACCAACTGCTGCTTACAGAAGTCGAGGTCGTAATTGTAAGCGGCAATATCTTCCTGGAGCTGGCGTACAGTGATCTCGTCTAGGTCTGTGTTCTCATACGACAAATCGCGGGCCACCAGATCCGCATTAGTACCATTCACTCCATTTGTTGCATTGCCCCCGTTGGCTATCTCGCTTGGGTTGGAGAGGCCCCCGGCCATTTGAACAGCCGCCGCTGAGGGCTATCAAATGTGTCAGTGATCTGTGATAGGTTGCATGATGGACTGGTTGGAAGCTCCAGAACAGCCAACAGGAAAGACGTGTGTTCGTTTGTGGGATCAGATGAGGGAAACTCACTTCCCCAAAGAAGCGTGACGACATCTCGGGCATACCGGGGAACAGCTTCTGGGGCTGGAAACCTTGCGCTTGGACGGGATTTGACGATCTTGCAGCCAGATACTTGGCTTGGGCTTTTGACAGCATGATCTGATATGAGCGTACGCAGCAGGAAAGATGAAACGACAAGGGACGGAACGGACAGAAATGACACAATCGTGGGATGGAACCCCGCTCGCAAAAGTACAGTTGCTGAGGGAATAAATCAAAGGAGGGCTTGAGTTGCTATCGATCATCAACCTGGTGTGGGCAGATATAAGAGATTTTTTTTTTTTTTCGAGACTTAGACTCGCAGCAATTTTCTTTTCTTTTTTTTTTCCCTCTTTTCTGTTGCTCCACCCCACCTGCCTGTCTCGAGTAAGGTCGTATCGAATCGCCAAATTCTGATTGGCTAATCTGGCATCTTGCCCCGCTAATCAAGAGATATATCCTTGCTATGCCCAACAAATATCGCTAATATGCAACTATCAATGCATGCTATTTGCCGCCTTGAAGAAAGAGAAAGAGAAAGAAAAAGAAAAAGAAAATGGGGCGATAAGTTGCATGCCGTTTCACCTTGATGCACTGTGGTTGGAAGAAGCAACCCTTCCGTTTCTACCTGCATGAGGCGTCTTGTCGTGTCTTGTTCTTGATTTGACAAATGGATGGTCGAGCCGGTCTGCACACTGGATCTAGTCTGGAAGTCCTTCACGCTCGGTTTATAGCTTTGATCGTAGGAGCTGATCAATCACATCCAGATCAGAGCGTCCCTCAAAAAGGCGTGTTTTCAGAGCGCTTGTATTGACCTGGACCATCATCATCAATCACAAGACCTTTCCAGTTTCCTGGCTGCACTAAATCAGGGGACCAACTCACATGTCTCGGTCGTAGCTCAGCAACATTCTTCACTCCCAACAACCTCAGGGCGGTAGCGGTTTCATCCGCGAGAACTGTATCAATCATCAGCATCGTCTTCAATCCCTTGGTATGGTTCAACGTCTTACTCTGCAGTGTTCTCTTGATGCCGTTTTCGCCTTCGATTGCAAGGCCATAGAGTGCAGCTCTGCCGATGCCCACCCCTTTTGCCCCGAGAGCAAGGGCTTTGACAACGTCTGTTCCTCGCTTGACTCCCCCATCAACGAGCACGTCAAGTTTCTCAAGAATCTCCGGACAGAACCTCCTGATCTCTAGCAACACCTGCATTGGAGGCGGTGTCGTGTCAAGTGCTCGCCCACCATGGTTTGACAAGATGATGCCCTTAACCGCAGGGAACAGTGTTGCGGCATACGCATCCTCATGCGTCTGCACGCCTTTGAGCATAATCGGCAGCTGAGTTTGCGTCACCAGCCATGCCAGAGTTTTTTGCCATGTCAGGCCGGCCTCCGTACCCCAGACCTGCGGAGCCGCTCCGCCTGCTACTTCCGCCATTTTGAACCGCTCGTCTGCCTCTCGTTTACCCGGGAACGGTGCATCGAGGGTCAGCACAATGAACTTGATCTCCGGGATTGCACGGATCTGCGCCAGTGTCCTCTCCGTGGCTACGATGTCCTTCAGCACATAGAGCTGCCATGCAAACACAGCGCCCGGGCTCCCCGCACGCACAATGTCACGAGGCGACAAGGACGCGTTCTTGCTGATGATCTGGAGTGCATTAAAGCCAGCGCAGGCGGTGGCAATGCCCGCCTCGCCAGAGGGGTGGGCCAACCGAGCCATTGCGGCGGGTGCGACAAAGATGGGAAGACCAACCTTATTACCGAGAATGGTGGTGGACAGCGAGACCTCGATGCAGTCAACAAAGACGCGAGGCCGCAGAAGAATGGACCGGTAAATGGCTCCGTTGGATGCTTTGGTGATCTCATCGTCGGTTGCGGATGCGTAGTATGAGATTGCCTTAGGACTTAGGCTCTGCATCGCGTAAAACTCCATTTCAGCAATGCTGAGCATGTGAGAGACAGGAGGAATTGCCTTGTGCAAGGCCTTTGTTGACGATTGCATTAGTGGTTGTTCGTGTACTTTAATTGTGGCAGAATCTTGCTTAGCCGGCCCAGGCTCAACAAGTATCTCTCCCACACATTGATCCTCGTTGAGATACTCGTCTAGAATTTCGACAGGATGAACGGAGTCGAAGTCTAAGGTTGCGTCCTTCCCAGCATTCTGGAGAAGCACGCGCTTCCCTCCCGGGTGTTGCCCGAGGAAGGATGTGACCTGAAGAGAGAATTTGACTCAGCGTAGGACCCTTCAGGTATAGACATGTTCAAGTAACCCACATTATAGACTTTACCGTGGATGACTGTCCAGCAATTGCCCGCAGAGCTGTGGTCCTTGACTTGTAGCGGTTAGAGGTTATGGATTCAGTGGCACTGTTGTCTTTGACCGACCTTCTGATAACAATAGTTTCCGCCTCATGCCGGCGTTGTTTAGTCGCGACTCTACAGGCTCTCGTCTCGTAACGTCCTGCTCTCTTGAATGCCAATTTCAGGCAACCTGCAATCGCTTGGAAACGAATGGCAATGCTATGAGTAGGGTACTTCGATGTGTCGGAGTCTCCGCTCCCCCAAGCCATAACTGAAATTAACCGCAACGCTGCAGCTCCGTGAAGGGTGCTAGCGGGCTGGAGATCACTCTCTTCAGCACCGACTCGAGTGGATTACCCCGCTCTTCAAGACCTCCTTAGCCTTGACTAAGAGCATGTAGAGCGTTGCTGACAGGCTCCAACACGACAGCTCTCGATGGCGCATCCCAGACTTCAGTGGAGCTCAATGAGGCGATGGTTCCAGAGTACAATTCGTACAGTGGATCCAATATCTCGTCTTTCTGGCCGATTAGCGGACCGTTTCTAAGGTTGTGGGGGTTTCTGTCTCAGCCCGTATCTCTAACTCCGCTGATATGACTACGTGGGGGAGCGTAGTGAGTGCCCATTTACCTACATTAATGGTAAAGTTCAAAACGGAGTGCCCCCACCGACGGACCTTGGACCGGAGCGCCCGGTGAGGATCGACGGCACCCGGTGTCACGATCCTTCGTGGCCGGAATTTCAGTCATCAGTCTGAAGGTGTCTTTTCCTTCCTAAGGTCAAGGAATGTCGAGCTGCCAATAGTATTCTTTGCTGACTTCGCAAGACATCTATCGTAGCCATGTCGAGCTCGCGATATCTTCTTAGCACGGGATGGACCTTCAAGCAGAAGGATGAGTCCGAAGACGCCTGGCTTCCCGTGCAGAAGATTCCCAGCCAGGTGCACATGGACCTTCTAGCCAACAAGAAGTAAGACTGAAATGTAATGTCTTTCTCGCGAATCGATCTCTAATAGTGCATCTTAGAATTCCCGATCCATTCTTAGACCTAAATGAGCTCGCTGTAAGATGGGTCGGCGAGAAAGACTGGGTGTACCGGACGAGCTTCACGGCGCCGCCCGGTGACGCCTCCGGGAGCGTGGTCGCCACCACCGACCTCGTCTTCGAAGGCCTTGACACATTCGCCACGGTCACGCTAAATGGCACTGAGATCCTCAAGGCCGACAACATGTTCCTGTCGCATCGGGTCAATGTGACCGGCCTCATCCGGCGAGATGCGGAGAACCTGCTGGAGATTGTCTTCGACTCCGCTCTGCTGCGGGGTCGCGAACTGATGAAGGAGCATGCCCACGAGCACGATTTCCTCGTCCGGCAGACTGAAGCTAGCCGCATCCCCGTGCGCAAGTCGCAGTACAATTGGGGATGGGACTGGGGCCCGATCCTGATGACAGCGGGGCCCTGGCGTCCGGTGTATTTGGAGCAGTACGTCGCCAGAGTTGCAGATGTTTGGGCACAGAATGAAGTCAGCGCAGACCTGAAGACGTGCGCCGGCTTTTTGAAGGTGAAGACGAATGGAGCTAGTTCCGAGACTGATAGAGTTGTTGTGACGCTCTCAAAGGACGGTAAGACCGTGTTCGAGACAGAGTGCAGCATCGACATAGACGGCCATGCGGCCGTCGAATTTGAGATTGCGTACCCAGAGCTTTGGTACCCATTTGGTTACGGAGAGCAGGCTCGCTATCGTCTGGAGGCGAAACTCGTTCGAGACGGCAACATTCAACTAGACTCTCTGTCTCGGCTGGTTGGCTTGCGACGGACGGAGCTGGTGCAGGAAAAGGACGCACATGGAAAGTCCTTCTACTTCCGCATTAACAACGTCGATATCTTCGCTGGCGGATCCTGTTGGATCCCAACAGACAGCTACCTCGCCCAGATTTCGGCTGACCGGTACCACGACTGGATGAAGTTGATGGTTGAGGGCAACCAGATTATGATTCGAATATGGGGAGGCGGTATTTACGAAGACGACGCCTTTTTCGATGCTTGCGATGAACTGGGCGTCCTAGTTTGGCATGATTTCCAATTCGCCTGCGCCAGTTATCCCGGTTATCCGTCTTTCGTCAAGTCGGTTGAGCTCGAAGCACGACAAAATCTGCAGCGTCTTAGATGGCATCCCTCCATCGTCATCTGGGCCGGCAATAACGAGGATTATCAAGTGCAGGAGAGATACAAACTGGATTACGACTTCGACAATAAGGACGCAGATTCCTGGCTCAAGTCCAGCTTCCCGGCTAGGTACCTTTACGAGCACTTATTGCCGAAGGTGGTGAAGGAGGAGGAGCCGTTCATGATCTACCATCCCAGCAGTCCTTGGGGTGATGGAAAGCTCACCGCAGATCCCACTGTCGGCGACATTCATCAATGGAATAGTAAGATACCAAGGCCAAAAATCCTCCAACTTCAATGACTGACATCTGAAAAGTTTGGCACGGAACAATGCATAAATATCAAGAAGCCCACCTCCTTAGCGGTCGCTTCGTCAGCGAGTTCGGCACCGAGGCGTACCCTCACCTCCAGACGCTCCAGAGAGCAATTACAGAGCCATCACAGCTGTATCCTGGGTCCATGGTGATGGACTTTCACAACAAGGCTATTGGGCACGAGCGCCGTTTGATGAGTTACGTCGCAGAGAACTTCCAAGTCAAGTATGACTTGCCGTCCTTCACCCACCTGACGCAGATAATGCAAGCCGAAACCATGCGGTATGTCTACAAGGCGTGGAGGCGCGAGTGGGGACAGCCGGGCGCTCGCAAGTGTGGCGGCGTGCTGGTCTGGCAGCTCAATGACTGCTGGCCGACGATATCCTGGGCTGTGGTTGATTATTATCTGATTAAAAAGCCTGCTTTCTATGCCATAGCGCGAGCGATGCGGCCAATAGACGTAACTGTATCAAGGAACATGTTCAACTGGACGCAGGCTCCTATGGATGCACACTCGAAGCTGGAGGCTGCCCATCTGGATCCAACAACGCTTGCTAAAGAGGGCAAGTTCGATGTGTGGATTTCAAGTAGCCGGGCTGAGAGGCTCAATGGTGAGCTGACCGTGCGGTTCATATCGATCATATCGGGAGAAGAAGTGTCAGCAGCCATCACAAGATCCGTTGTCATTGATGCAAATGCCACAACAGAGGCCATACAGGGTGAATCGGCCCCGGCCGCTGGTGTGCAGTCCGCAGAGGCTTCGAGGGGATTCGACTTGGCGGGGTACAACCCTTATGTCATCTTTGTCACCTTGACTGTAGATGGTAACATTGTGTCAACGGACTCAGCTTGGCCACAGCCCTTGAAGTACCTCAATTTCCCTGATCGGGAGATCTCTTTCAACAAAGCTTCCTCAAGAGACCAGGTGGTTGTGTCTGCAAAGAAACCCGTCAAAGGTTTCGTATTTGAAGAGACACAAGGTATGAAACTGAGCGATAATGGGTTTGACATCATGCCTGGAGAGAAGCATGTCATTGATATCAAAGGGGGTATTACTGCTGATCAACTACGATGGACATATATTGGGGCCCCTTCGGGATCATTAGAAATAGCCTAGGCGCTTGTATTTATACTAGTTAAGGGTCGAAAAAGTACGGCGGCTTCCCAAGCATCTTCTTCTCCATTTTCGTCGGCTTCTCCCAATACCAAGCAGATGACGACGGTCTTATTTGGTGTAATCCATCTTTCGCAGCTTGCCATGCCTCTTCATCTACCGGTCGACCTTCCCTTTGCGCCATTTGTTACTCAAAGTCAGCGTGCATGTCTTCTATCTCTGGCCAGTCTTTGACAGATCTTCTGTCGGGGGCCACGTAATGTTCAGGAAGTTTTCGCTCATATCGATCGCGGAAGATATGATAGCGAGCCATGGCCTCATAAGGATCCCATCGATATCTATTCTCTCTGCTGCATTGAATGGGTAAAGGGCATTGAGAGATATTTGGCGAGGGCGATAATAAGAAATTCATGAGCTCCGTGAACTGAGCCTGAGAAGGAGGATAGATAGTGTAGCCATGTCGAACTGTATCGCCGTGGAGATACATTCCGTCACACTATATATATGATGGTCAGTTTGCTCTTTCCTGTGGATCCGGGTGCATTTACCTCTTCGTCGGTCTCACCACGATCGAATAACACAACGCCACCAAAAACTCGACTCTCGATAACTCTCGGCCAAAGATGGCTGTTCATTTCATGCTTAATGGCGACGTAAGCAATCTAATTGTTATTGTGCGATCGTTTTGACAAAATACTGGGATCCAGCGGATTCGTGCCATGGAACAAAACGATACTGAATTTTCGCGGGCTATTACTAGTAGGGCCGTGGTGAATCTGAAAGAGACCATAATGAAGCAAAGAACAGGGCTTTTGAACGGCATCTGAAGTTCATATTCATCTGGGGTGGGCTACATTTCATGACTTATGCCATGTGATACCCCGCCAGGAGTGACGGTCTTGGGCTACCGCCAAGGTGCAGGCGGCGAAAGTGGACGATAGGCGGAGCGACATCTTCTTGGTAGAAATTTGGAGTTGTACCATGATGTTGATGACAATCATGGCGAGGTCAGTCTTGATCATTTACTTTCCTACAGAGCTACACTGGCTTATCAGACTGGAATCCCTCATCTTCTTATTGACAACCAAGCGACTGCCGCGGAAATTCGATTAGAAGCATTTCAGGCCTTTGTGTCGAATGCCAGATGTAAGTGCAGCTGGGGATCAACAGTGGACGACCCTCAGACTAGTTTCGTGTAAGCATGCCCATTACCGCTGGCCTTGAGAAGTGCCAGGACTAGTCAAAGCGAAAGAAGAGCAAGAGGGCTCTTCCGAATGGGATTCACTAATTCAAACCCTCCACATCAAGCAGGTGGTCGTATGATGGCGGCTCTACAGGAAGCGCGACAATTTAGGCTCTATGATGTTGGTGTCTCAGAATTGAGGCGAATCCCTTTGGAACCAGCCACCCAGGTGATTGCTATTAGGGTTCGATGATATCTCGATTTTGTGTGTATAAGCATACAAAATTGATATAGGCAGGAAGTTTTTGGCTTCTCTTCGGGCAATTCTGCCGGCTATGGAGTCATTGAGCATCTATTTTTCTAGTCTGGATGTTTCATTTAGACGATGTACATATAGGCACGGTTCGACTTCACTGGGTTTGCCTAGGAATTAACAAAATACCAAAAAAGGAAGGATGTCAGCTGAGTGGGTATTCCAAATCATCCGAGGAATTTCTTCTCCTTACCCTTATGGGCACACAGATATCATGCCAGATAATTACATCAATGCTTGCCTTACAACTGTGCATTTGTCCCATTCTTGTGATCGCGTTTTGCTGAACCCAATGTTGTGCTGACCAATTTCTTCATGTCACTTATTAATAGTGTGACAGGGGCACTACTTGCTTCCTGTGAATAAGTTGACTTGGAAGAATGTGGGCAGATTTTGGTTCCAGGCTTATAAGACACTTCCGATAAGATCCTTCACACTTATCAAGACATGGGATGTCTGTGCCGCAAGCGCTAATTAAATGTGCCTTGCATCGAGATAACGTTAGCCGCGGCCAAGATCGAAGGGTCTCGCTCTGTGCCACTGTCAGAACACAATCGTCCCTTTGAAGTATCTATCTCCGCTTGTGCCGCACAACTCTACCCACGGCACTTGACAGGGCCATACAATAGTGCACAATTGGCAATTCGAATGAGCCAGCTGCAATCTCCGGGCCAGACTCAGAAGTTTATTTCACAATAGAGCTTTGCGGGGATATTGATCGGTTCAAGCTCGTCAATCGCGCGGGTGGCGCCGCCATACATCTTGTTGAATCATCTGCCTGCAGTCTCATTTTACAAAGGATGTGGGTGGGCTGGAGAATATTTGTGCGTTGATTGGCACAACCATTGCCGATTCCCAACCTCATGCCAGCGATGCTACCCTTCGCGGAGATAGGGTGATAGACAGGGGTCAATACAACGCTCAACGAGGTACACTAGAGATAGCCAGGAGCTTCCTCCACACCAAGGGAAAGTGGGCGCTGCACTCACATCTCTTCTCGTTCTCTGCACTTAATTAGCCCTTGCTAGCATCACAATGTCACGTTCCCTTCAAAAAACAGGCAATCCGCAGCATCAGGAAGCCCTAACGATGCCGGCGACGCCGCAGCTCCCCAGGGTCCCAAGCGATATTGACGGCGATACTTTCTCTCCACTACGCGCGTTCAGCCCACACGCGCGCATCGCTTGAGAGGATTAAGCCTAGAGGTGATCCACAAACCGGTGGATCTAGTCTAGACAGGCTGGGGCTTCCTTGTGGCGGTGACTTTATATAACATGAGCTTCCTTTTTAACATCTGCTAGGATCATTGATGTTATCATTTAGCGTTGCAATTCAGGGTTTCTTGCCCAGCCTCTTCACGAATCTGACTATAAATGATGCATTTCTATACTAAAGCCACTCACGATGTTGCTTTGCCTACGGCACAGTCAATCTTCGAATCCTTCGTGTCGGTGCCAAGAGCAATTATTGGTTTCGCGTGCTAAAACCGTTCTCATGATGTATGGGGGGCGAAGCGCACACTGCGTCGACCTGCTCAGTTGCAGCTATTAGTTCAAGGGCAAGTGGTTCGAATGCTGTGACGATATGGATACTACGTTATTGAGAGAGAAAGTATATAGATATGTATGCTCGTTCCAACAAAACATGAATCTTCTTGTGGTTATGCTGTAGAGCTTGAGAGGCCAGACAATAGGTACAGCCATGTTGAAAACACTTTGGTTGACCATCCGGGTCCTCTATTGCTTGATAAATGTCAGCCCAACGTGGGCAGCACCCAGCCGTCTTTTTATTGGCGATCTGACCAACTCGAGCCACCCCTTTGCTGAGTATGGACTCATTGGTGAGAAGCGGGCAGATAAAGTGCCCCTTCGAATTTTAAGTCTTGGCGCGTCTATTATGAGCGGTGTCGGCTCATCAACAGGAAATGGGTATGTTGAGTCTCCCGCGTCTCCCAGAATAGATCTATAGGCTAAGTTTCCAGCCTTCGAAAGCCTCTTCGAGATGCACTGAGACTAGATGGTTGGGATGTAGACATGGTGGGATCACTGCATGGTGGCACTATGATTGACCATGTTCGTGCCTTCTAGACGTTACACTGAGAGTCACTAATGATATCTATAGGAGCATGAGGCGGTACCTGGCGACGTGTTGACTCAAGTCAGAGCCAGAATATCACGCTCTATCGGTTTCAAGGTAAGAGATTAAACGATGCAGTCATATTCAGTTCCTACATCACTCACCAACCATTTTTTGTTAATAATGCAGCCTAAGTACTAACGTGATTCAATAGCCAAATGTTGTCATCATCAACGCGGGAACAAATGATGCCGTGTATAGTGTTGACTTATCCGGTGTTGGCAGTCGTATGAATGACATATTGAACGATCTCTGGGCAGGCGAAGACATGGGCAATTCCTGCATGATATTATCTACTTTGATTCCAACTACAAACACTGCTGGAGATGCTAACAGACCTGGTATTAACGACCAATACCGTGCTCTTGTAACTCAGCGAGCCTCAGAGGGAAAGTGTATTTATCTTGCGGATATGGACCCGGGAGGCTCCCAGTGGCTCCAGTTTGACACTGACTACCTTGCCACAGAATCGCCTCATGTACACCCCAATGTGAGTCTATTCTTAATTTTGACCTCGCATATTAAGAGACTAATAGATCTTCAGGATTCCGGCCACAAGAAGATGGCTGCCGTGTTTTATAAAGCTATAAATCAGGCAATCGCTACTAATAAGATCGTCAAAGCTGCCGATTTTGCGACCGGCGACCCCGTGTGTGACAAATTTGCCGGTACAGGGGTTGATGCTGGTGGTCTTACCCAGCGTGGCTCTGGACACGATGACGGCATTTATTATCACGATAGTGAGGAAATGGGCGTGAGTGTCAAATTCATGCTTATAACATGAGACATGCTAACAACTCATGTTACAGATCCTGTTCACGGCGGATAGTGACTGGGACCGAAGCCAGTGGAAGTTTGCTCGGCTCTTTGATCAAAATCATGACGACCTCCTTGCATGGATCTCAAAGAGTGATACCGAACAGGTGTACGCCGTATGGTGAGTTCGATGAACTTCCCACCTCCTCAAAAAGCGTTATTTCGGAAATATTTGGATCTATGCGTCTTAGAGGCCCTTCCCTACTACCTATGGCAAACTTTGACTTCTACGTCTGCGAGACTGATGTGTGGATAGGGCAAATTCTGCCGATGGAAAGGGCTCTTTCTCAGCACAAATGAGCGATATGGCACCTGATCTACTCTGTGATGCAACAGGCGTTCATTTCATTGATATGACAGGCGATGGGCTCGATGATCTTGTCTGTATCGATGCAAGCGGTAACGCCTACCTTTCGGTGAACCAAGGCGATGGCAATCGTGCCGGAGGAAAGTCTCCTACCTTCAAGCGTGTTAGTTCCAGTGCTCTGATCAAGAGCAATGAAGGCTATAAGCGTGAGAGAGTACTCCTAGCAGATATTGATGGAGATGGCCGGGGAGACTACGGGGTTATCGACGACTCTGGAAACGTTTACTTTTGGAGAAATGGCTGGATCGATCCTATTCCCGCCTATTGGCAGGCATTGGGCTTGAGGTTCACTGGCAAGAATATGGGGGACGTCAGAGGAACACGATTTGGTGATATCAATGGAGACGTAAGTGCTTTTGAGTCTCGAATAATATTGGCGTCTAATCAGCATTTTTAGGGCCGTGATGACTGGCTCTGGGTCGATGACGATGGTAAAACGTACACCTATACAAACGGCCGAAGTTGCAAGAAGGGTGTCGAAGGCGACGGCTTAAATGTCGCATGGAGACAAGGCTTTTATACAGGAGAGTCTTCGGGCCCTACACATAAAGGCATGGCAGCCTACCTCACTGATGCGGAGACGTACCTCCGGGACCGTATTCATTTCGCTCGTATATCTGGAACAGCAAGTATTTTTGGCAACCTACCAACGCTGGACTACGTATTCATGCAGCATACCAAGCTCTCTACTGGCAAGCATCGCTTTCAAATGCGCGTCTGGAAGAATACTGGAGGTGGCGCAAGTAAGCTTCTCGCAGATGGAAACAAATACTGCAATATGGTAGGCCATGGCGACGGCCGTATGGACTACGTGTGGATGTACTCGTTTGGCACAATGGAACTCTTTATCAATCGTGGTAAGGGCTCGATCTCGGATTCTGATCCTGATGGCTTCTGGGACTTCTCTCCTGGTGTTATTTGGACCCCTCCATCGAATCTAAACCGTCGCGATTTACATTTGGCGGATTGGGACGGCGATGGTGCCTGCGATATCATTTACGTCAACCCCGAGGGTGGCACTGTTTCGCAAGTTTGGATCAACGGATATCCATCAACTGGCAAATGGACGTGGACACCAATGTCAAACCCCGCACCGAGTTTGCACTGCTCTGAGAAAAGAGGCCTTGGCCTTTTCGATTGTAAGTCTGTGAAGTCTGCTAACAGGCTTACTTTTTATGTTTCCCGCATGTTGTCAGAGTAAAGTTAATCTTCCATTAGTGGCTGTTGAGTTTGCTGATATCACTGGTAATGGTCGTGCCGACTATTTATGCATGGAGCCGGGCAGTAGGACCACTGGATTCACCCATAACAGTGACGGTAGTTGGACAGACGCTGGACAGATAAAAGTGTCTATTACTAAGGATCGAGCCAATATGCGCTGGGCCGACGTGAATGGGGACGGCAAAGCCGATCTACTGTGGATTGAAAAGTTCTCAGGAGACGGCTATGTCTGGTAAGAGCATGATTTCCTGGCTTGCTCGATTGGTATACACAAGGCTAAAAACACGACAGGTACAATAACGGACCAGCTGATCCTGCCGTAACCCTTGGCTCTTCGTTCTCCTGGAGACAACAGGACACAGTAGCCTACGCCGGCAATGTTGCTGGTAGTTGCGAGTACTTCCCTGATCTCGACGGCAATGGCCGTGCAGACGAGCACTTTGTTCTTGGAACATTCAACAACGAGGCTAGAACCGCCTATAACCCTTCTTGTGGACTTCAAGATGTCACAGGAGACGATGCGAGCATGGTCAATGATCTACCTACAGTGCCTGGAGGCGATTCAAGCGGAGGTGGAGGTGACGACGGCTCAGGCGATGGTGACGGATCAGGAGATGGCGATTTGCCAGACTACCCTTCGAGATTTGGGGGTGGCAATCCGAACTGTGGCACCACGCAGGACTTCTTTGCTCACACATACTACGTTGGCAATGACCAAGGTGGAGACCCTTTCTGTATGGCGAAGTGGAAAGACGGTATTTTCCCTAAGCTTATCGAGGCTCGAGCTACTGAAGGCTCGCTTGCCTACCTGCGCGTCGTCTTCACAGACAACTCCGAAATGGCAGTGGGCACTGCGGTCTCCGATGACGGACATCATAGATATGGGACGCTTGAATGGCAGCCTTTCGTGGACACCTTCGACAAATTTTCGTTGTGGGCAGGTGGCTGGAATGGAGGGGTTGGCCGACTGGTAGCAGGTATTGCTGGGAAAGATACGATCGATGCTGGTAAATACTGGGACGACCCACCGACAGAGTACCCAATTCCACGTGGCTACGATGGCAAGGGCATGTTGCTAGGGTTCTACGGCAGCGCTGGTGACAGGATAGATTCACTGGAGCCAATCTTCTCTAGCTACAAACCGAATCGCGTCTCTTTGACTAACGCGACATTCAGCCCTAGCTACGAAGCTCTGAATACGCTGCCTTTCTCGTAAGTTCTTTACAGATAGTATTTGATCGAGATCTAACGCAAACATAGGGAGCGCAAGATGTCGGTCGTCTCAGTCTTTGGTACACACCAAAACGACCTAGATGACGAAACTGAAGTCGACATCGAACTCAGAATACGCATCTCAAAGCAAACTGCAATAACTTTTACTCATGAGGGCGGACATGAAGACGGCGGAGAAGTTGGAGGAACTGTTGGAGGCGAAGTCTCTTGGTATGTGGTCTCGAGACTGGAGTATTGTCAAGCAATGCCTCCAAGCCTATCATATCCGACGACAGTGCTGATCATATGACCGCTAACTATTCTCAACAGGAGTGTAGGAGTGCCCGAGTTGGCCGACATTAATTGGAAAGCGAAAGGCGAAATCACTGGGAAATACGTTAGGAAGGACATCTACAAGACCATACGTTCATCCACAGATACAGAAGTGGAGCAAGTAAGTACGAGATGCGATAATCTGGATCCATGGCTGACCGGATTTAGATCGAAACAAGGCTTATCATGAAACCTAAAGTTAAAGCTGGAAGAACAGTAGAGTGCATAGCGAGCGCTGTGCAAAGTAGTCTCACTCTCCAATATGATTGCACGGTAAATAACCTTAAAACTCGTCGTGATTACAAACTAATATTTGATGTCAGCTCGAACTTATCTTCGACGACGAAAATTCGTACAAGTACGATGCTTCGGGTGTATTCGTAAATGCTATGGGAAGCCAGATAGCTTCTCATTGTGGTTATGTTGCCTCGGATGAAGCTGACACCTCCGATTTCGACGAGGTCATCACGACAGCTACTTATTGTCAAGACGGTACATTCCTAGGCGAGGGACTCGTTACCGATGACGATTATTTCTCGCTTTGCCCCGGAGACTGGCAAAACCTCTAATTGTGCACTTCAGAGAGTATGGCTACTTTGGATTCATATCGTCTCATAATAACTGCTAAGGTTTTGCCAGAATTTATGAACGATAAATACAATGCCTCATCTCTTGCCACCTTGCCACATCACTTCGTGAAGCCCGATACGTTTCCTAGTGTATCCACACGATAGCCGAATGACGAAATGAGTAAACTGACTGTATATGGGGGGAAAAATGCTTTGAAATCCGCGTTATATTCTGTGATGATGGAGTAGCCTATGGGCCGTCCGGCCTGGTTCGGCGTCTAGGTATCGCGCTGAGCCGATCTTTGGTGTGATTACCGGCCGCTTCCCAATCGCCCGTATCCACCAGCAAGCGTAATTGAAGTATAGGATGCGATTACCAATACGCTGGCGGTGGGCCAACACAAGATAAGTTAATTGAGGCTGTTGAGATCCGTATCGAACTGGGTTCTCTCAACATACTTAATTTAGTGGAGGGCTGAGAGCGATCGAGCCGCATACAGTGCCTGCAAATACGCTGATTCTTTTGGCACGCATCAGCAGTGTATACGTTTTACATCGATGGGCAGGAGCACCGTTGGCATAGTGCGGTAATTGTTGCTATCAGTAGTTCCACTTCCTCCTAGCCAAGCCCTACTAGTCACCGACTCTCTAACGTTTTGCTTGTTGCCAAAGCTGGGGACGCTCGATAGATCATTGAGTTGGGGGAGCAGGGTCTTACCCCTGCCAGCAGTC